AAGGAGTGCTCGCGCATCAACACATGCTTTGACTGCTCGCCTGAGGGAGCATGCCATGCCGTCAAGGTGAGGGTTTGACCCCTCTGCATGCATAGTTCGTACCGCCTTCCTCAACTATGAATGCCCTCATGCATGCTCCCTGTATGCTCCCTGCATTCTGCTCCCTGCATTCTGCTCCCTGCATTCTGCTCCCTGCATTCTGCTCCCCACTATTTTTGAGGCGCCTCAAAACTCATGCATGCTCTCTGCATGCCTCCCTGCATGCCTCCCTGCATGCCTCTCTGCATGCCCCACTATTTCTCTGCGCCGCTTCCCCTAGTCCTTCCCTTTCCCCTTACTCATTCCCGTCCCGCCATGCAGAAGTATTCACGAGTGTATGTGGAGGAGCATGGCACAGTCACTTATGCATGGCCCCCCATGCATATCTCCCCTTCCCATCCCCTTCCCACCATGCAGAAGTACCCGCGGGTGTATGTGGAGGAGCATGGCACAGTGCCTCATGCCTGTCATGCATCCCCTCACCCTCATGCCATGCCATGCCATGCCATGCCATGCATCCCTTCCCATACACGCCATGCAGAAGTACCCACGGGTGTATGTGGAGGAGCATGGCACGGTCACTCATGCTGTTCCATGCCATGCAATGCGTGTCCCCACTCCCCTTTCCCCTCCTCCCATGCCTTGCAGAAGTACCCGCGGGTGTATGTGGAAGAGCATGGCACAGTGCAGGGCGAAGCAGACATGATGGCCGAGGTGAGAGAAGGTCGAGAGGGTGGTGAGCCGAGAGGGGATGAGGGGTGTGGGGAGGATGAGGTGAGAAGGTCTGAGAGGGGAGTGAGAGGGGGGTGAGGTGAGAGGGTGTCAGAGTGGGGTGAGGAGGGGAGATGGGTTTGAGCAGGTGGTGAGAGGTTGGAGAGGAGAGAGAGTGGTGAGGTAGAGGGTGGTGGGGATGGTATAATGGCTCCTTTTATGCTCTTCTCCTTGTATGCGTCATCCATTCGCTCTCTTCCCCCTCACTTCCCTTCCATTCCCTCCTCCGCCCATCCATGCCCTTCTGCTCACCCTTCGTCCTACTTCTCCCATCGCTCTGTTCGATCCTCCCTCTGCTCATTCCTCCCTCTGCTCATTCCTCCCTCTCTCCTCTCGCCCCTCTGCCACTCGCCCCTCACTCCTCGTCCCTTGTGTTGCGCCCTGCGTGGCACTCACCACAGATCGCGGCACGCGGCCCCATCGCGTGTGGCATAGCTGTGAACGACGACTTTTACAAGAACTACAAGTGAGTGTGTGGGGGGGGGCAGAGGAGAAGAGAGGTTACAAGAGAGTGTGCAGTGGTGTGTTTTGAGTTGACTCGAAACACACCAAATTTCGTGTGGCGTCGCGGCGAACGACGACTTTTACTTGGTACCAAACTTAAGCTGGTGAATGTGGGCATGGGATGCAAGTGAGCATGGGATGCAAGTGAGCATGGGGTGCGAGTGAGTGAGCATTGTGCAGGGAAGAGGTACCAAGTGAGGGCAGTGCATCATCGCATTCTGCTGCCACCCTCCCTTGCCTGCATCTTTCCCAGGCTCACGCCCCGATCCTTCCTTAAGGGCCGCATCGCCGCCCACACCACAGCTTTCTTTCATGTGGGGGCGTGGAACCATCCTTTCCTCTTCTGCCCACTTTCTCAAGCCCACCCTGTCCGCTCTCCAGAGGCGGCATTCACAACGACACCATGGGCTTCCTTGACGTAAACCATGGGCTTCTTTGACGTAAACCATGTTATCACCATGGGGGGGTGGGGCGTTTGAGCTGCTGCCACCCCCTTTTGCCTGCTGCTAATGCCACTTCATCCCTCCCTTGATGCCATCCTTCCTTGCCTTCTCTGTCTTCCCCCCAGAGGCGGCATTTACAACGACACCACGGGATTCTTGACGTGGACCATGTGATCACTGTGGGGGGTGGGCACTAGCACAACTACTACCTCTGTTTCTTGCCCACTCCTGATGCCGTCTTCCCTCCATTGCCCTTTTCACCTTGTTCCCCCCAGGGGCGGCATTTACAACGACACCACGGGCTTCCTAGACGTGGACCATGTGATCACTGTGGGTGGGTGGGGCACCTCCCCTGAGGGGGTTAAATACTGGATCGCCCGCAACTCATGGGGCACATACTGGTGAGAGCGAGGGGGGGAGTGAGAGTGAGAGCTGGGATAAGTTTCCTTGGCGTGGACCATGTGATTGCTGTGGGAGGGTGGGGCACCACCCTTGAGGGGGTTACGTACTGGATCGTTCGCAACTCATGGGGCACATACTACTGGCGAGAGTGTGTGGGAGAGTGAGGGTGGGGAGTTGGGAGAGCGAGTCTGGCGGTGTTGGTTAGTGGTAAGATTGTCATGGTCACTGCTAGGGGCAGGGGCTGTGAGCTGCAATTGGGTATGTGTTGAAATGCCGCATGCATGCTCATGTGCTGTGATGCTGCATCTATGCTCATGTGCTGTGATGCTGCATCTATGCTCATGTGCTGTGATGCTGCATCTATGCTCATGTGCTGTGATGCTGAATGCAGAAAGCTGACAAACCGTTGTACTTGTGTGCAGGGGGGAGAGTGGCTGGTTCCGCATCGTGCGAGGCACCAACAACCTTGCCATTGAGAGCGGATGCGACTGGGCGGTTCCCAAGGTCGTGTGGGAATGAAGGTTGCTGCACGTGCATGTGTGAACGCCCACCGAGGACGAAGCTTGTGCAGTGTGTAGATTCATCGTGCAAAATTTTAGTTTGATTGACCGAGTTTCATTGCACTCCGCGCATGATGCTTTGTATCAGACTCTGCTACACTATCACACCACGACGGGATAAGGAAGCCTGTTCCTCCCGCTATTAGAGTGTAACTGCAGGCCTATCCATTCATGGCGGAAAGGACAGCGTAAGCCACCCACCGTGCCCACACCAAGTCAAGGCTTCAAACGACGATTGCGTGAGGTCGGTTGGGTGAACAGTTCCCGCCAGTCAAGTTTCTTGCGCCAGAGCCAACCTGCAGTCCTTGTCTTGCAGACCAACTTGTCTTGCAGCCCGAGCCTGCCGAGCCTCGGAGAACGCGTACGGACCTAGGCTTGTCCATACCACAACCGAGCGCCGAATCCCATTCCAACCAAACCCCCATTGCGCATACGGTACAGTACGGACTCAGACCCCTGCGAGCGGAAAAGTCGGAAGCAAGTTTTGGGGTGTGCGAGCGAGTCAACCGAAGGCGCAGAGGCGTACGGGAATGTGAGAGGTTGTTGCAAAAGCTCGAGGCATGGTCGGGAAGGAGGTACAAGCCTCGGGGTATGGTGGACCAGCCTTGAGCTTCGCTTCGGGGAGGCAGATGGTTTGGTGCAAGGCTCGACGGCTTTGGCGGGGTCTTGGAAAAAAAAAAATGTTCGAAAGCTCCGTGATTTTTCTTCACTTTCCTACGCCCTGGGATCGCTTTGTGTTTTTTTCTGGTGGCTTTAAAAAAACGCGGCGTTGTACTCTACAGAAACTGTATAGCGAGAACAGTCTGTACAGTACAGACGACGATCTATCTTTTCGATGTTTGTTCTGTCTTTCTTTGCAATTGGCAGCCTCGAAGCTCCCATGAGCACCACACCCCCAACAGAAAGGTACCCAGATTGCGCCTTTTAAAGTCGAAGCTATGGATACATTTACACTCTTCTTCGAGCCATTAAAATCAGGCTTAGTAAGAGCGCGACAGTTACTTGCAATGCTCATTGCGAACCCAGCCATACGTGCTAAAACTGCTACAAAGAAACACCGGCTTGGGCTTTGGGATGTGTTGCATTTTCCTTCCGAACAAACCCTTTTTTCGATTTTGTAACGACCAGCAAGCTTCCATGTCTCAGCTATGATTCTCACAAGGACATTCTGCCAATCGATACCACATACAACACAGTACGATACACCGCAGTACCGTGTTGACTTCAACTTGTACCGCTGTGCTGTCCATTCCCTCCCCTGGCATTGTCACTTGCGCAATAAGATTGCGATGGGTCCGTCCTTGCGCAAAAACTACTGCCCAGCCTTGGGAGCTCCCAGACCAGCACAACCAGCTTGGAAACATTTGGACCAAAGTGAACCCAACCAAATCACACGCTGCAAAATAAAGCACTACAGCGAATACATCAATTTCAGATTCTCACTGGGCATCGTCGTCTAGGGTTTCGACGACGACTGTGACAGCAATCCCATCCCCAGCGGACCTGCTGATGCGAATCAAATAAGCGCAAGGACGGACATCCAGCCTAAAGAAGAACGTTCCCCATCTTCACTTGGAAATTCATAGATTATTGCTTTCATGAAATTGGTCTTAATTGATTTCTTTGGAATGCGTTGTAACTTTTAGGAGTAGTCTCACTGGCCGATGCGGTAGGCCTTATGAAGCAGGCAGAGTCTAATCTGCCTAAACTGCCGGAGAACATGGCGACCTTTGAAGCAGCGTGGAGACCGCAGGATCCCGGCTCTTCCGCCGAGTCGTCTCATTTTTCTTTTCAAGACAGTCGATTTGAGCCGCGTTACCAGGTCTCCGGGTCTAACTTCATAGAAGACACGTTCGTTCCGCTACCTGACGATGACGACGTCCCATTCAGTACTGGGGCTATCCGCAGTTCCCGCGGGGACTCAAAGCAGCGGCTCGGAAGCCGGTCTTTCGGAGCGAAGGACCGTCGCGATCTATACTCACCCCCTCGGAGCGATTCCCCTTCTGGTCAGAAACCCGTTAGTAGCCGCTCCGGTTCTAACCGTAGCCTCGCCAAGACCTTTTCGTTGCGCATTCCTGAGAACTTGGAAGACTCGTCGTCTCCTCAGAGCCGTAGATCGCTCTCCCCTCGGCAAGCCCACGCCCACGCTCGCGCTTTCTCTCAATCTCACTCTCATTCTCGCACTCCCGCGGGACACAGCAGCAGCTTATTATCGGGCATGCTCAGTCCCCGCCCCGGACGAGCGCCGCGCGCGATGCGCAAAGGCCGCTCCGCGACGTCGATGGTTCTGGATCATGCCGTTGACGAGGCGGCTCTTATGGAGGACGAGGCGGCGAACGACGGCGGCGCCGGGTGGGACGAGGACGGCGCAGCGGCGGCGCGACGCGTCCACGCGAAAGCGCTCGCCGCGATCGCGACGCCGCGGGCACGCGGGCCGAAGAACAATGACTGGAGTAGCGCGCGTAAGGCTTCCGAGTGGGGTGCCGCTTCTGCCGCCGCTGGTTCGCTTTCTAGTTCGAGTTCGGGATCGCGCACGGGCTCTATGGCTGCTGCGGCAGCAGCGGCGGTGCATGTTTCGCCTGAACGGGGTGGTAACAGCCGGTTGCATTCGCGAGCGCGAAGCTCTTCGCAGGTGGACGCCGAGCGAAGCTCGTCACCTTGGGGAAACGGGACGGGGCGAACGGCTGGCGGAGGCGCGGATGGGGGAAGCGCGGGCGGAGAAAGCGCGGTTGCGGGAGTCAGGAGGGGGAGAGTGAGCGGAGGAGGCGGAGGGGCGGGATCCGCGGTGAGTAAGCCGACAGGTGCGTTTGAAGCACGTTTCGCGCCGGCGATGGCGGAGAGGCCTCCCGTACCTGAAGGCCTGCAGGATCTCTCCGTGTTTTACGGCGCTTCGAGGGATGATATCGCGAGCAGCGACAGCGTTATATTTAACCCAGCAGGCGGCGCCGTATCCGATCATAACTCGGACATAGCGCTTCTGATGAACTCGCCTGCTTCCCTTGCCCCTGCTGCTGCTGCTGCTGCTGCTGCTGCTGCTGCTGCTGCTGCTGCGGGAGGTGGTGGTGGTGCTGCGGGTGGTGGTGGCGCGGCGGAAGCGGCACCACCGTCGCCACGAGGTCTGCATGTTTCGCCAAATGCCACGTGGACCAATCAGAAACCAGCAACGTTGGGAAGAGTGGCAGGTGGCGGTGGGAGGACCCACGCGGCAGGAGCGCAGGGAACAGGCGCATCCGGAGCGGGTGCAATTGGCGCAGGCCCAAGCGCGATTTCGCCCATGGCGGCAGCCGCCATTCGCGGCGGCGGATTATCCGCGATGTCGCCGCGCCTGCTGAAATTCCTGGTCGAGGATAAGCCGGGAGCGGCGGAGCGGGGCGCGGGGAGAGCAGGGGAGGGGAAGCGGGGCGGAGACAGGCGCGTGCGCCAGAGCGGAAGCGGGGACGAGACCGCGGAGGGGAGGGGGGGGGCAGGGGGAGACGAGCGGGGGAGGGTATCGTCGCGGTCGCGCAGCGGGCCGCTCTCCGCGCGAGCCAGGTCGCGCGCCGCTGCGTCTATGGGCGGCGCCTTCCGTGTGCCCGCGCCGTTGCACTCCCCTCTCTCCAGCTCGCCAGCGTCGTCTGATTCGTTATTGTCGTCCCCGCTAGCCCTCCCCGCGCCGTCCCCGTTAGCGCAGTCCTCGAGTTTCGGTAGAAGCGCCGGCGCCGCGGCAGCAGCGGTTGCCACTCACGCGAGAAGCGGTCTGGGGAGTGCGTCTGTGCCCTCTCCTACACGCACCTCGCCTACAATCACATCACCCACCAAACCAACCTCCCCGCTAGCCCCCTCCGCTGCCCCCGCAACCGCGGGGCCGTCCGCGTCTGTTGCGCAGGCGGCGGCGGCGGGGTGGCAATCTTTCCGGCGGCCCGCCGCGCTTGACCTTGGACGGCTCCTCGCGCCCGGCGCTCCAGGCGGGGAGGAATCCGACGGTGAGGATGAGTTTAGCGATGACGACGCTGACGTCAGCGAGGCCGTGGCTGTAACGGGTCCGGCCGAGCCGCCAGGTTCGGGGAGAGCTGCTTGGCCAGGCTTGGGAACAGCCGCCGATCGCGGGGAGCGGCTGGAAGGGGTTGAGGTGCGGTTGGAGCGGAGGTCCACGGGGAACGCGCAGCTCGCGGAGAGGGGAAGGGCGGAAGGGAACCTGGGGAACGCGGAACGCCCCCGCAGCAGCCCTGTAGGCCTCGACTCGGCGCTTAGCTTCGACCGCCGAACCAGCCCTGTAGGTTCGGGCACTGTAGATAAGTCCGGGTTGGGAGGGGGCGGCGGCAGCGGCGGAGGAGGCGGGGGTGGCGGGGGGAGAGCGGTCGCGGGTAGGGCGCAAGGCACGAAGAGCCCAGCGCGGACAGCGAGGGGCGGGAGTCCTAATGTTTCGGCTGCTGCTGCTGCTGCTGCTGCTGCCGGGGACGCGTATAACGCGAACACGCGAGTCCTCCCTCCGTCGTTGTCGTTTTCCGGGAGTGACGTGGCGGTTAACCCCATCGACCGCCGAACTTCCGCGAATGAGTATATTGACTTTCTTCCCGCCGGATCCCCCCTCGATTATTCCCCGGACGTTACCATCTCCCCCACGCAACAGGCGCAACAGCAGGCGCAGCAGCAGCAGAGGGCTAGCAGTGCCAAGCCTGGCAGGCAGGCAAGCGGACAGGCTGGTACGGCCGGCCGTACGGGTAAGGCTGGAAGCAGCGGAAACAGCCCGGTAGGCTTGGCAGCGGCGGCAGGTTCGGGGACAGGTTCGGGAGGTTTCGGGGCACAGGCAGAGGCACAGGCACAGGCACAGGCACAGGTGCGGGCATGGGAATGTCAAAGAGTGCGACACTGGACTCGGGCATGGGCGGAACTCACGCGGACTCAATAAAAGCCTCTAATTCTGACGAAAACGGTAACGATAACGAGGATAGTGATGATGACGACGAGGCTATCTTGCTGCTGCCAGAAAACGTTCCGAGCCCCGACGCTGCGGAACCCAGCTCGGCGCGCAGCAAGCCAAAAGCTGCGCCAGTGGCACCGTTAGCGTCAGGGTCAACGTTTACGTCGTCAACGGTACCGTTAGCGTCAGCGCCCGGGCAGGGCGGGAAGGGGGCGTTTTCCGAGCGCGTTCGGGGGTTTGCTTCCCCCAGGCGCGTTGAGAGACCCCCCGACCCCATGGACCGCCTCCGCGGATTCGTCTCCCCGCGCGCGCGCATCCGGGAGGGGCCGGGGGAAGGGCAGAGCGAGGGAAACGCACTGGGCGGGGATTCTAGTCGCGCCACTGGCGGTGGGGGTCGGGGGGGAGGGGGCGGAAGGGTTGGCGCAGCGGCAGCGGAGGATAGTCAACAAGGGGGATCGATTTGGCAGCAGTATCAACGGCCGCAGCAGCAGCAGCAGCAGCAGCTGCCGCAGCAGACACAGCAGCAGACGCAGCAGCAGCAGCAGCAGCAGCAGGCGCAAGCGGAAAAGGACAGCAAAGGAAATCGTAGGCGGCCGAATTTGCGGCCGTTACAGTTAGACGCACTGGTTACCACCCCCAGAGGCCGCGGCCGCTCGCACCTCCCCGCGGGGGGACCTCTTTCCGCGCGCGCTGCTGTCCCAGGCCCGAGCAGCAACGTCTTCCGCCAAAGGGGCGCGGGAGGGGGCAGAGGGGGGGGCACGTGGGATGGGGACGCGCCAATGGCGGCGTCTGGGGGAGCGGGGGAGGGGCACGGGGGGCGGGGGCATATGGCAATGGCAATGCCTCCGCTTTGGCATAGAAGTCCGCGGGCAGGGGGAAGCGTGTTAAATCTAGGCGCAATCACCCCCACTGCTGCTTCCGCCTCTTCCGCCGTGGGTGCAAGCGGGGGAAGGGGCGGGCCGTCCGCTGCTGCTGGTCCCGCGGGAGGGGGGGAGAGGGCGGGGGGCGCGGGAATGGGGGACAGCAGCAGCAGCCCCAAGTACTTCGTTGCGCTCAAGAGCCCCCGCGCGCCCGCGGATGCGCCCAGGCGCGCCAATAGGAGCCCCAAAACGCCCCGTGGGGAGGTGTTATCTGGGAAAGGCGCGGGCGAGGGAGGCATGGGCGGAAGCGCCACTGCTGGCTCTGGTTGGGGAGGCGCGGGGGCAGGCGGAGGGGGAGGCGGAGGCGGAGGGGGAGGCGGAGGCGGAGGGCAGGGGGAGGGCGGCAAGCGGCGGGGGCTAGCGTCATGGGGAGGCGGGGGGACGCTGGGCGCAGCAGTGGACACTTTCAGCCGCAGCCTGAGCGCCCACCCTGTCAGCCCTAGGGCGGGGCCACCTGGAGGAGGCGCAGGGGGAGGCGCGGGGGGAGGCGCGGGGGGAGGGTTGATGACAGCGGAAGCAGCAGCCGCGTTTGACGCGCACGCGAGAAGAGCCATGGCTCCCCCCCCCAACCCCTCCTATCATGCGCTCCCTACCCCCTCCCTCCGCCCCTCCCCCACAGCTGCTGCTGCCGCCGCTGCTGCTGCTGCTGTCGCTGCTGCTGCTGGCGGCGGGGGCAGCGGCGGGGGGAGCAGCAGTAGCGCGCGCGGGGGTGGAAGCAGCAGCGCTGGCGGTGGTGCTGACATGGGCGCAGGAGGGGGGGCGGGCGGGGCAGGGGTCGCAGGAAGGGGCGCAGGAGGGGGTATGGGCATGGGGATGGGGATTGGCATGGGTGTGTTTCAGCAGGGTTACTCTGATGTGACGCGGCGGTATGAGATGGGGCGGAAGGTGGGGCAGGGGCGGAAGGGTGTGACTGTATATCAGTGTGTGGAGAGGCACACAGGCAGGCAGTACGCGTGTAAGACTATAGACAAGGTGACTCTAACGGGGGGCAGGAAGGAGGAGGCGGTTCGCACGGAGGTGGCGATTATGAGGAAGCTGCAGGGCCATCCGCACATAGTGGAGATTAAAGACACGGCGGAAGATGCTAAGGTGAGTCATGTTACCTCGTGTTACTGCGTTGGAGGAAGCTGCAGGGTCATTCGCATATTGTGGAGATTAAAGACACGGCGGAAGATGCTAAGGTGAGTATGTTTGTCCAATCCCCCCCACCCTCTCCCCCACTTTCTTCCTCTCCCTGCTTCCCTCCTTCATCCGCTCACTCCCCACCCGTTCCAACCTTGCATCTTTCGCTCTTCCCCCCGGCCTTCCCACTCCTCCCCCCCCGGTTCGTGAACATAGTGATGGAGATGTGTTCAGGCGGGGATCTCCTGGACCACTTAAACACGCAGCTGTGCATCTCGGAGCGGGAGGCTGCCACCATCCTGCGTGTGCTCGTGCAGACCATCCACTTCTGCCACGTCAGCCCGCATGCACCTGTGAATCCCTCAGCTATGAAAGGCACCGCCAAACCCTTCCTCTTCCGCTCCCCTCTCCCTTTCTCCCTCCTCCGCACCCCCCCTCTCTCCCCCCTACTCCTCCTCCCCCCTACTCCTCCTCCCCCCTACTCCTCCTCCCCCCTGCAGTTCGTGCACATAATAATGGAGATGTGTTCAGGGGGCGACCTGCTGGACTACATCAACACTCAGCTGTGCATCTCGGAGCGGGAAGCAGCCACCATCCTGCGCGTGCTCGTGCAGACCATCCACTTCTGCCACGTCAGCAGCATCATGCACCGCGACCTAAAGCCCGAGAATGTGCTGCTGGGCTCGCCCGGCCAGTGGTGGGACCTGCGCGTGGCGGACTTTGGCTTTTCTGTGCCGCTGAGAGCAGGTGAGGGATTAAGGGCCGAGGAGGGTGCAGGCCAGGGCGGGTGAGAGGAAAAGAGAGCGCACAGTTTGTATGGGGCAGGGAAGGTGTGGGTGAAGAGGGTGCAGGGTGCACGGTGAGGGTGAAGAGGGCGCAGGGTGCACGGGACAGGGCACAGGGTGGCCGGGGGGCATCATGCACCGCGATCTGAAACATGAGAACGTGCTGCGCTCGCCCGGCCAGTGGTGGGATCTGCGGGTGGCGGATTTCGGCTTTCCTGTGCCGCTCAGAGCAGGTGAGGGGTACCGGTAGTTCACACCGGTGAGTAGGTGCATTGGGAGCGGGTGAGGAAAGAAGAGAAGGCGCAGGGCAGGGCACACGGGGCAGCGCAAGCAAGGCGGGCCGCGGGAGCAGGGCACAGGGTGAACAGGGATACAGCACATTTGCATTTGCCTCTGAGGGACATTCGTGCTCTCATTTGCACGGGGCATTTGCCTCTGAGGGACTGCAAGCGAGAGCACGAAAGGAGTCCGTCCCCCCCCCAATTCCCTCTCATCCCCATCTCCATCCCCATCCCCACCCCCACCCCCACCCCCACCCCCACCCCCAATGGCACATCCAGGCTAGCACATGAATCCCCCATACCTATCCTTACTAGTGAGGCTCACCCTCCACCCTCCAAGCCCTCCATGAACCTGTAACCACCATCTCAACCCCAACCCCCGTACAGGCCAGCGCATGAAGGGATACGCCGGCTCTCCTTTCTTCATGGCGCCTGAGGTCCTAGGCGAGTTGTACGGCCACCACTGAGGCAGACATCTGAAGCCTGGGAGTCATATTCTAACCCCAACCCCACTTGCACCCCAACCGCAATTCCATCCCATCCCACACAGGCCAGCGCATGAAGGGATACGCGGGGTCGCCCTTCTACATGGCGCCGGAAGTGCTTGACGGGCTGTACGGCCACGAGGCAGACATATGGAGCCTCGGGGTCATCCTCTACACGCTGCTTTCCCAGAAGCTTCCCTTCTGGGACGACACGGACGCGGGCGTGTATGAGCTGATCCGGCGCTGCGAGGTGGACACGAGCTCAGGCGTGTGGCCGCTGGTGTCGGGGGCGGCGAAGGACCTCGTGCATCGCATGCTGGCGTTTGATCCGAATCACCGACTACCGCTGCACCTCATTCTAGGTATGAAATTCCTTGCATTTTGTTGCACCTGGTTCTAGGTTGGGGGGTATGGATGACGGTATGGCTGTGAGGTGGACACGAGCTCGGGCGTGTGGCCGCTCGTGTCTGGAGCAGCAAAGGACCTCGTGCACCGCATGCTGGCCTTTGATCCGAATCACCGACTACCGCTGCACCTCATTCTTGGTATGTCCTGTTAGTGTCCTGCACCTGGTTCTAGGTGGGGGGAGGGGGGTGTGTGTCTGATGGACACGAGCTCTTGCATTTGGCCGCTGGTGTCGGGGGCGGCAAAAGACCTCGTGCATCACATGTTGGCGTTTGATCCGAATCACCGCCTGCCTCTGCATCTGATTCTCGGTACGTGTGCCACTGCCCCTTGGCTGTGAGGTGGACAGAGCTCGGGCGTGTGGCCGCTCGTGTCAGGGGCAGCACTTTTGAGAATTCTCAATTTTGAGAATCACTTTTGAGAATTCTCAAACGTGATTCCCAAATGGCTGTGAGGTGGACAGAGCTCGGGCGTGTGGCCGCTCGTTTCAGGGGCAGCTAAGGATCTCGTGCACCGCATGCTGGCGTTTGGCTGCGAGGTGGGCACGAGCGCGGGCGTGTGCATCACATGCCGGCGTTCAACCCAAACCCCCACCTTAATTTCTTTCTTTTCCCCTTCCGCATCTCCCCGTCCTCATCTCCCCACCCAATCTCCCCGTCCCCATCTCCCCACCCCATCTCCCTACCCCCCCCCCCCCCCCCCGTCCCCACCGCACACATCATCACAGACCATCCATGGGTTGTAACCAACACAACAGTCGACATTTCTCGCGTGCCTTCCATCGCGATTGGTGCAGAGTGCCTTTCATCACATCACTTCTGAGGCACCTTGAAGTATTTACTTCATCCTTCCAATTTTCGTCTCGTTCCCATCTCTTCTTCCCCCCCCTCCCCCCCGTTCTCCCCCCGAAACACCATCTCAGAACACCCATGGGTGGTTACTAACACGACAGTCGACATTCCCCGCGTACCCTCTAGCGCGTCAGTTTCCTCGGAAACTTCCTCTCTCGAGCCGCACTCGTCCGGGCGGCGAAAGAAAGATATTGCTAGATCTGCCGGAACCATCTTTTCGTCCCGGGCTCAGCCGCAAGCCATGCGCGCTGCAGCCGCCGCCGCCGCCGCTGCTGCTGCCGCTGGTGGTGGGGGGAGTGATGGTGATGATGACGAGGAGGAGAGTGCAGGTGGCAAGGGGGAGTGAGGATGGCTGGGTCCATTTTTTCGTCCTGTGCCACTGCCAGGCACACAAGCCACGTGCGCCGTCGCCGCTGCTGCTTTTCCTGCCGCTGTCGCCACTGGTGGTGGTGGTGGAGGGGGGAGTGATGTTTATCATGAGGAGGAGAGTGGGTGAGGACTAGAAGGTTAGTGGGGACTGGTTGGGCTTAAGGGTTTGAATGACTGTAAGCGGACTGTGTTGCAGAGAGCACAGACCTCAACCAAGAAGATGCCACGGTGCAGTGTGGTGCAGTGCGGTGCGGTGGCTAACATACTATAGAGTGTTCTGCTTCCGATTGATGATGGCACAAAGGATTTGTCAGAATCCCAGCCACTAACCACTGGGATAAAATGGCTTGTTTATATAGCGGGTGAGTTTCGCCCATAACCCCCCAGGCCGACGTGCCTGTAACCCTTCCCTAGGATCATCGGGGATCTCCAGTAGACCTCTGACACCCCCCCGCACTGGGATGCCCGAAGTGCACACACCGGGAATCGAACCCGAGACCTTCGTTCTGATACCATGTCAGAATCCCAGCCACTAACCACTGGGATAAAAGGGCTTGTTTATATAGCGGGTGAGTGCGCCCATAACCCCCCAGGCCGACGTGCCTGTAACCCTTCCCTAGGATCATCGGGGATCTCCAGTAGACCTCTGACAGAATTGTGGGTCGCGTCACCCCCGTGATGAGCGTTGTTTTGAGACGTCTCAGGACACCCCGTGATGAGAGTTGTTTTGAGACGTCTCAGGACACCCCGTGATGAGAGCCGACAAGCGGGGTTGGCCTCCGCAACATCCGGCAGTAGATGCGACGACAATGGTCTCCAACTAGAGGGGTGTTTTGGGTTCCAATCCAAAACAGATTCTCTTTTCATGGCGTAAGGAGAAGTGGTGGTTCATTGCTGATTATACTTTCTTGTAGGTAGCACTTGTGACTTGTGGGGTTTTGACTTGCATGTAGCATCACTCCTTGTATTATATTCTGTCTGATGTTTATTTAAACTGATGTGAGTGTTTCTACCTCGCTTTGGCGAGTCGCATCGTCTGGTTACTGGTCTTCCCGAAACCCCGTCTCGCATCCTCGTCATGTCACCAATTCACCTGCGGAGTCGCGTCAAAGCTCCTTCTCCACGACTATCTTATCGCTCTACGTATCCCACTTACACGTGTTCAAGACCGTTGGCTCAGTGCTAGCTTACGTGGCGCGATGCCTTTGGCTGGGGAACAACGTGGAGCGGGGAAGCGGGGTAAGCGGGGGGAGAAGTTTGAGCGCGTGGGGTGGTCCGCTGCAATGGCGCAGTCCTCCCCCCTTCCGCACTCTAATTCCGTGGATGCCTCCGCGAACTCCGCGCTCGCAGGTCGCGTACATCCCGCGCATTCCGCAAACAGCTCGCGCACCCCGCTCGTCACTTCAGCCACCGAGTTTCCCTCGATAACTGACGAAGCTTCGAAGGAAGCTTTGGAAACGGTTCGCCCCTCGGAGTTGGAAACCACCAGCCCCGCTGCCGCCGCGAGACGACCAAAGAAATTCTCCTCGCTATTGTCACACTCCGGTATGAGTAGCGACATGCGAGCGTGCTCCTCGGGAGCAGCCGCCGCAACTCTCGCGTCGCGAGCGCCTGCAGTCGCGTCGCTAGCGAATTCTAAAACGACTCAAATCTCGTCTGCTGGCGCCTCGTCAGGCGGGGGTCCCGCGGGGGCCGCGGCGTGCAGGGAGGCCGTGACTAGCGAGCTTCTGCGAAGGTTCCGGTGGGCGGACAAAGAGGTGGTGGAAGGGGTGATGGCGGCGGTGGGGGGGGAGCGAGCAGCCGCGGAAGCCGTGCTGGCGGAAATGGGGGGAGAGGGGGCGATGGGGGGAATGGGGGGGATTGGGGGAGAGGGGGCGATGGGGGGAATGGGTGAACGGGTAGTGGGAGTGGCTGTGGGGGACGGCGCGGATAGGAGGTCGGGAGAGATAAAGGAGGAGGAGGAAGGCGGGAAGCAGAGGGAGGCTGATGGCCATGATGACGTGGATGTCAACTGTGATGACGTGGAGGATGACTGTGATGACGTGGATGTGTTCCGGACGTTCCGTGCAGAGGCTCTAGCAGCATCAAGGTGAGAGAGCAGCAATTGCAGCAAATAGGGAGAAGCGATAGCAGGCCTCACATCCTCTTTTCCTCTCTATCGCCTCTCTCCCTTTCACCTGCCTGTATCCTTACCTCTCCTTTCCTCTCCGCTCCCCTCCACGCCTCCCCTTCCAGTTGATTTTCATTTCTCATTGCTCTCTTTTCCCCCCCTCCCCTCTATCCATCTCCCTTTCAGGGCACACGCACGGCTCGCAGGGCAAGCTGCCCGGGCATACGACAGGGGCGACCACGCAGCTGCCCGGAAACTTTCCCACGCGTCAAGAGAGGAGAAGGAACGTGCAGAGAGGCTTCACACGGAAGCTGCTGGGAAGATTCTGACTCACAGGAACAGGGGGCGGTCATTGTGGGAGCTGGATCTGCACGGGCTTCTACCGGGGGAGGCTGTATCTGCACTGGAGGCGAGGTTGAAGCAGCTGGAGGGGCAGGCGGGTGCGAATGCGCAGGAGAATTTTGCAGTAAGGGAGGCGTCGGTGGAAGAGCAAGTGTGGCGGAGCAGCGGTGCTGCGAGGGAGATGAGTGCGGAAGAGCGGGTGTGGGGGAGCAGCGGTGTGGTTCTCCCAGCTAAGGTGTTGTCGTCTGCGCGACCTGAGCTGATGGTCATTACAGGTCAATGCTCGCAAGAGTGGTGCTTGGATGAATGAAAAGGAAAGGCTTGGTTTGCTGTGCACCTGTCTGATTTATAACGTGGGCTTTATACCAGAGCTGATGATCGTAAATGGATGCCCGTGCAAGGTGCTTGGACGAGTGAAGGGCTCACTGTGGTTGTTTCTGGCTGCTCTTTGCTGGTGTGTTTTCTTGACCTGTGTGTAATGTTTGGTGCTTGCAGGCGTGGGGAAGCACAGCAGTGGGGGCCAGCCGAATCTGCCAATGGCTGTGAAGAAGTTTCTTCATGAAGCAAGGTACCCTACCTGCTTGTTTCTTGACATCCTACATAGTTTACAAAGTACGTTTAACAACTTCCATGTGACTTCTGGCCTTCATTTTGTCAATGCTTGCTGTGTGATATTTGTTCATATTCAGGTATTCTTACAGAGATGCAAGGGCAGGTGTGGTTGGGGTGAGGCCCAGGCTTGTCAAGCTCAACTGAAGGAGAGAAGTACTTGTTTGGTATATATATTGCACTGCCAGCATCAGCTGGCAGTGCAATCGAGTCAGCAAGGAAAAAAAAATAAACCCCATCGCGACAGCATGCCATTCGGGAGCCTAAACCCTAAAATTTTAGGCAAAAACAAGATAAGTAGTACTTGTTTGTATTATATTTATAATGTTTCGTAATATACCGGTATGACAAGATTTCTGTTTGGGGGCTGGTCATGGCATAGATTTGAAATCTGTGCTCTCGGGCCTTGCAAAAGCAAGTTATGTTTGGCCCACGTCACCTCAGCCAGAATGGATGGTTGCGACGCGCCGATCGTCGATGCTGTTTGTGGTTGATGCAAGTGTACTTCGCCACACGTGTTTGTACCCGGCTATCCAAGCTTTTTGATCCCCTTGCCGTACCTCTGAACGGAGCTCGGTTCGGTATTCAGGTGTGCGTTTTCCCAAAGCACCACCATCGTGTCATGTCAGGTCTCACAGCTGACACGTGTCACCACACCGGTGGTTCCCGCCCATTCATTCATCCGACCAAATTTCAATGCCCTCAGTTTGCCACGTCAGCTACGTCGCCGCGCGCCCCCCTGCCCTTGGGATTCGCGGGATTGCATCACCGCCAAGCCCACCCCTTGGAATTCTCCCAACAAGTGAACTGTATGCTGTGATGTGAAGGTGAAATTCAACTGGCGAACATAGCTGCTTTTGATGGCCTTCAATTCACCACCCATTTGCTCGCCCTACCACTATTTCTGCTGAATCCGTCAAGCCATTTCCCATATCAAGTGCTGCTCCTGGAGAAACTCTCTCCCATCTGTCAAGCCATTTCTGACTCCTTTTTGGTAGGGGACGTTGATCTCGAAGTAAGGGTTGTTCTATCAGTAGTTCCCGGGATCTTTACGTCCTCGTCTTTTTTTAGGAGATTTCATTGAGTTCTTCTTGGTCAGCTGATCGTACTGAGGGATGGCGACCGTACGCGTTCCGACCACATCGCAGTACACTAAATTAAGTAGCACGTCACGGTCTAGGTCATCCAGCCGCAAGCCTCCAAGTAACTCGGCTCGTTTTTCCAGCCACAGCCTCTCTGCGAATGTCGGTCTCCGGAGCAGTCTAAGTTCCGTCACGCACTCCTTAACTTCGAGCCATGTCCTTCCAGATGCTTCCATTCTCCGTCATACTACCTGCGCTGTCGCCGCTTCTCCCGCCGTTGCCGACAACACACCCTCTCTCTTAGACCTCGTGCCTGAGATCGAAATCGAGAAGCTTGACATTTCCTTTCCAGCGTACAATCCCGAGGACTCCGCCGGCACACTTGACTTGATCGTCGTCGGCGCTGGTCCCGCTGGCCTGTCCGTCGCACAGCAAGTCGCGTCGCACGGCATGAAAGTATGCTGCGTGGACCCTGCTCCTGAGTCCATGTGGCCGAATAACTACGGCGTGTGGGTCGACGAATTCGAGGCGTTAGACTTGACGGACTGTCTAGATTACGTTTGGCAAAAAGCTGTGGTGTATTTAGATGACGGCAAGCAGAAGTATTTGGACCGGCCGTATGGGAGAGTGAGCCGGCGAGCCCTGAAGATGAAAATGGCGTCGCAATGCATCAAGAATGGGGTCACATTTCACGCGGCTAAGGTACGCTCTCCCACACGCGCGTGTAGCTAAATTACAGTGTTTTAAGAAAGTGAAGTTTATGAGCAAAAGCTCGAGCATACTCCGTAATCACTGTGCTCTAAGTGTATTCTTGGCGTTGCAGGTGGACAGCGTGGAGCACACGGCAGACAGCTCGGTGGTGCGATGCAGCGACGGCACGGAGATCAAAGCAGCGCTGGTGCTGGACGCGACGGGCTTCTCGCGACGCCTCGTGCAATACTCGGAGCCGTACAACCCAGGCTACCAGGCCGCATGGGGAATCGTTGCCGAGGTACGTGTGTGTAGACTGCCGTATGGGCAGAAAACAAACAAAACAAAACAAAGAAACAAAATGGCTATCATACGAGAGCTTACAAGGCAAGGAGCTACGCACATTAGGGTATTTCGCGTACGCGCGTATTCACCGGGGGGCGTTCTACTAGGAAAACGATCGAGACGTTGATGACCTTAGTAATCAAATACCCTCGTTAACTCTATATTGTTTTGATTCGGCTCAAAACAATGAAATCCAGTATTTTTTATAATGATAATCTGTCATTGTGTACCATACCTTTGATCACTTCGATGTTGTTCAGCTGGAATCTCCCAACCATATCCGAAAAGGACGCGACGGTGTTTAGGCACTGGCGGGAATCATGCACAACTGCTGGCAATTCTTACAAAACGAGTCCGCGCATTGCGCCCTGCTGGTTGCCTCAGGTGGACTCGCACCCGTTCGCGCTGGACCAAATGATCTGTACGGACAGGTGGGACTCGCTTGCAGTGCCCCTCTTTGTCCGTCTCATTCCGCCCTGCTCGTTGCCTCAGGTGGACTCGCACCCGTTCGCGCTGGACCAGATGGTGTTCATGGACTGGCGGGACTCGCATCTGGCCCCGGGCACCCCTATGCAAAAGAGCAACGCCGACATCCCCACCTTCCTCTACGCCATGCCCCTCTCCCCGACCACCATCTTTCTAGGTACGTCTTTTGAATCGACTCAGAATTCACCTTTCTCTACCCTAGAAGTCACTTTCCTCTACGCCATGCCCCTCTCGCTCACCGCCGTCTCTCTAAGTCCTCGACGCTGTTCCGCGTTTCCTTGCTTGTCTTGAATCCTGCAAAGCTGTTTAATTCTCCCATCACTGACCGGCTATCTGAAGGCAAGTGTTTCCGTGCGTGCTCGTGCCCCCGCTTTGCACGCAACTCGGGCTCACATCTACATGTTCGCTATCCGTCCGTCCGTTCATCCATCTTCCCCGTGCCATGGTGCTTTGTGCAGAGGAGACGTCGCTAGTGGCGCGGCCAGCCGTAGCGTTTGACGAGATCCAAAGGCGCCTGGAGAAGCGCCTGGCGCACCTGGGGATCAAAGTGAACGCCATCACCGAGCAAGAGTGAGTGGCGGGGGGGGGGGGGGGCGGCTTTGCACTGACTGTGGGCTGTAGACTAGGAATGATTTAGGAAGGTAGCTTGGCAGTAGTTGTCACCACATATCCTAGTGGAGGAGCAAGAATTCTGACGTGTGGGACATACGTAGGTGGGTTGAGTGCTGGTATACTTCCGACGAGCAGGGCACGTGCACGTAGTTGGCAGAGGGAACACTCATGAGAATTCTCAGAAATGCCTCCAGCAGTAGACATGCATGTAACAAGCAGTGGAAATGCACAGATGCATTTGCTGCGTCCGCAAGGGGTGTCCATCCATGGAAGTAGCTCGCTAACTGGAACGGTCAGACTAATTGAGGCCCTTCCGGACCCGTTCCCAACCCATCCCCGCCCCTCGCCACCCATTCCCATCCCTTCCCTACCTATGAAGGCCTGCATTGCATCTGCCCATACCCACCCCTCCTCACCTCACCTGTACGTGTGCATGCTCTCCCTACTTGCCATGCACTGCGCAGGTACTGCCTGATCCCCATGGGCGGCGTGCTGCCAGACATTCCGCAACGCGTGCTGGGGATAGGAGGCACGGCGGGCATGGTGCACCCCTCCACTGGTAAGAGCATGCTGCACCCTTGCTTGCTGTCGCACCACCATGCTGCACCTTGCTTGCTGTCGCACCACCATGCTGCACCCTTGCTTGCTGTCGCACCACCATGCTGCACCCTTGCTTGCTGTCGCACCACCATGCTGCACCCTTGCTTGCTCTCGCCCCACCATGCTGCACCCTTGCTTGCTCTCGCCCCACCATGCTGCATCAGAGTACAGGCGCAATGGGGCAAGCAGGGGGGCATGTGTTAAGAGTTCAGCCGTCCATTCACACGCAATGCTGCTCCATCCGTACCCTCCTTGGATGGCGTCAATTGCGTTCACAACCGTCTCACTCTTTCTCACGTCACCTCCACCCACCCACCTTTCCCTAAATGCCCCCTTTTCTCTGAGTTCCCCTTGTTCAAGCTACATTGCAGCTCACACGCTCCCAGCAGGCCTATCATTCATCTTGCATTACCCCCTTCCATCTCAAGTCAACTCAAGTTCCCCGATTCCCACTATTCTCCCCTTCTATCACTCCCCCCCTTCTCCAAGAACATAGTGGCTTAGATGCTGGCAGCGGCCTCTTTCATTAGCTCAAGTACCCCCCTTTCCCGATGTGTGTCCACCTTCTCCACTCTTTCCCTCTATTTCCCCTTTGCTCCCTCTCCCCTTTCCCCAGGCTATATGGTGGCTCGGACACTAGCAGCAGCGCCAGTGGTGGCGGCTGCAATAGTGAAGCAGCTGGAGCGGGAGGGGCGGGAGCAGGGCGAGCAGAGAGGCGGCGACAGCTTGTCAGCACACGTGTGGGAGGACGTGTGGCCGCTGTGGCGCAAGGAGCAGCGCGAATTCTTCTGCTTCGGCATGGACGTGCTGCTCAGGGTGGGTGTACCTTGAATTGGATGCTGCTGGGGGTGGGTGCTGCTTGGGGTGGGTGCTGCTCAGGATGGGCGGTGCTCAGGATGGGCGGTGCTCAGGATGGGTGCTGCTCATCATGGGCGTGATGTATCTTTGGAATAGGTGCTTATCATGGAAGATGCTTCTCAAAGCAGATGCTTCTCAGGGCAGGTACTGTTTCAGGTTGGTGCTCCTTCCAGTCAGCTTCTTCACCAGTCACTACATGCTCATTGCACCCCCTCCCCTGCCCCCTCGCTCCCCCTCACAGCTGGACCTAGCAGGCAACCGGCGGTTCTTTGACGCCTTCTTTGACCTCACGCCCTACCAATGGCACGGCTTCCTCTCCTCTCGCCTCAACCTCGTCGAGGTATGCTGCCTGTCACCCCCCCTTGACTTTTGAGCAGAAATTCTCGATGATTTGCTTCATATACCCTCCCTCTTCCTGTCCTTCGCCTCCCAAATCATTCCAGAACAAGCATTCATGCAGTGTCCAGTTGTCCCCATGCTAATTTCCCCTCGCTTCTGCTTGCGCACTTCCCTCCCTTCCGGTACTGTCTGGCTCCCCCCTACAGCTCATCTCGTTTGGCCTCTCGCTCTTCAAGCACGCCTCCAACCCAGCGCGCATTGAGATAATGGCCAAGGGGCTACCTGGCCTTGGCACACTCGTTCAAAACGTCGTCAAGATGCGCGTGTAGGGGCCTCCGGCCTTTCTTTGTTACAGGAATGCTTCAATATGATGAAGGGCCATACGGTACATGGCAACGTTGGCCAATTTGCTGGAGAGAGGAACGGATGTGGGTCAAAGAGCCCTTGTGCCGCTCATGGTTTGCGAGTTGCAGGGTTTCACATTAAACACAACTGCAGTGTGTGTGTAGCAGTGTGGTGTATGTATACAATTTTTGTGTTGTGAAATTTGAGTCTACTGTATGACTGTTTCACTGCAGCACTCTAGCGCATGGAAGGTTCTGCTTTGGGAAAAGTCTCGTCTCCTTAACCGGCTTCTTCAGTTGACAGCTGTGCATAAAAACAATACTTGTCATGTGGTGATAAGCTAGGTAGAATGAAGATCTACTTCTTGGAGGGAGCTAGGTAGAATAAAGAACCCTTTTGTAGTCAGTACAGCACTTACTATCACGGCTGTATCGCATCGCGCCCTGCAGCCACACATGTCTCTGCGGCCATTCCCATGCGACGAAACTCACACCATGAATGAAGTTTGTGCCCCACTAGGTTCCTTTTCCTAGCAGTCACTTTCGAGTGCTTCGCCCGGACACTACCGTAGCTCGCTTTGATCCGTATCCAACTGTGAGGATAGTAGGGTTCAGAGTTAGGCCGGATGTGCTCTGAAATTCTTCCTTGGGAGTGACCCGTGACTATCCTAGGTTTCTTTCCGTAGCAGCCAGTTTCGAGTGCTTCAGCCCGTCCATGCTGTAGCTCGCTCGGTCTATTATTTCGAATTGTAATTGCTTCATTAATAATGTCATCCCATGTTGGTACTAGAAATAGCGAAACGGGTACTAAGGAGGATGGGGATGACGGGAATCTCGAGACAAATGAGGAGGAGAATTTGGTGACACGGGTTGCGGATGCGAAAGGGGAGGAAAGGGAGGAGAGGCGAGAGAACGAGCAGGAGACAGCGTACAGCGCGCTGCAGCAGCTGGTTACCACTGTTTCGTCCGCTTCGCCATCCTTCGCAGCCTGGTTAAGCGGGTTCCGAAGCACCATGGTGGATTCAGGCTCGGCCAAACCAGGCCGGTCAGGTTCCCCTCTTCCGCCTCGCGTCGCTGCTGCTACCGCTGTTGATGCTTCTGCTTCTGATGCTTCTGCTGTCACTGCTGCTGCTTCTCCTGACACTGATGCTGCTGCTGCAGTCGCTAACACCGTTCTCTCTGACGCCAATGCTGCTGCTGCTGTCGGTGACACGACTGCTTCTAACGCCAACGGTGCTGCCCCTTTACCGCCATTCACGAGCAGCAGCAGCAGCAGCAGCAGCTGCAGCAACAGCAGAGCGCTTCCATGCCTCTACCGCCTGCTTCTCCATGGAGCTCCGTGATTGGCTGGAATCATCGGGACTTAACTCCACAGATCTCCTAGGCTCGTTGACCCGTGCCATGGATTCCGAACCTGCAACGGAGGCTCGGTCGTCCCTGGCCTTGCTGGCGTCCAATCTGGTGCACTCGCTGCAGCTTCGGCGAATACAGGACGTCGTTGCTAGGTGAATAAAAAAGGAGGGGGAAGGTGGGAAAAAGGGGAAGAGAGAGGATGGGTACGGGGGAAACATTAAATTGGGGGATTTCGTGTGTGAGTTGCATGGGAGGGGGGAGTGTGTGTGAGAATTCATTCATTCATTCATTCATGCTTAAGGTGACTTGATTAACGGGTGTGGCGGGGAGCGTACATACAAATAGGGTGCAATCCGCTGATGCCCCTGTGCTGTGCTACCTTGATTAACGGGTGTGGCGTCCGCTGATGCCCCTGTGCTGTGCTACCTTGATTAACGGGTGTGGCGTCCGCTGATGCCCCTGTGCTGTGCTACCTTGATTAACGGGTGTGGCGTCCGCTGATGCCCCTGTGCTGTGCTACCTTGATTAACGGGTGTGGCGTCCGCTGATGCCCCTGTGCTGTGCTACCTTACCCCTCCTCCCCGTGTGCGTGGCCAGCTGCCCCAGAGCCCTCCTGGTCTGTCTGAGGCACTCCTGGTGGCGTGTGAAGGATGCCCGGGGTAGATGCAGGTGGGGAGCGGTAGAGGTGGGTGAGGAGGGGTAGATCCAAGCGGGGGAGAGGTGCGTTGAGGTAGAAAAGGATGAAGTGGTTTCGGGGGCATCGACTGGAAAGGCTCATGGTGGCTGCTTGTAGGTTGGAAGGCTCATGGTGGCTGCTTGTAGGTTAAGGTGTCAACAGGTGAGGCAGGAAGGGCAAAGACCTCATCCCCTAGAGGCTTATGCTGCTGTAATCTTTCGTCCTCCCTTGTGACCTCATGCCTCTTTTGGTTGTCTGACTCTTGTTCGTTCGTTCCATGTTTACCGCCCACCCGTGCCACAGGCAGCCGGACTTGGCATGTGGCGAGGCGGTGTGGGTGCTGGGGGTGAGATACGCAGAGTGGGAGGATGAGGAGGTGCGGCGGGAGGAGGCGAGGGAGGGGGAGGGGGAGGAGAGCAGAGAGGAGGGGGTGGAGGAGAGGAAAGAGGAGGGTGTTGATGGGGGGATTGGAGCTAGGACAGGCGGGGATGGGGGGAAAGACGTGGATGGGGGTAGAGAGGGAGGGAGGGTTGAAGGGTGGGCGCTACGGCGTGAGAAAATCGGAGGGTTGGGGAGGGAAGAAGGGCGAGAAGGGGTGGGAGAGAAGGAGAGCGAGGTGGGTAAGGTTGAGAGGAGGGGAGATGGGGTGGAGCAAGAGGGGGCGGAAAGCAGTGGGAAAGGGAGGGGGGAGGATAGAAGCAGTGGAGAGCAGAGAGGAGAGGTGAACAGAGGGGTGGAAGGGGGAGAAGAGCAGAGGAGAGGGGAGGAGAGGCGAGTGGAGGGGAGTGAAGCAGAAGGGAGGAGCAGGGAGGAGGGGAGGAGCGGGGGCTCGTGGGAGGATGTGGTGGTGGACGTGCAGTCACGCCTCTGGATGACGTACCGCTGGGGCTTCCCCCCCTTGCCCTGCGCTGCTGCTGCCGCTGATAGCGCTGCTGCTGCTGCTAGTATTGGTGGCGATGCCGCTGCTGCTGGCGGTGGCGGTGGTGGTGGTGGCGGTGGTGGTGGTGGTGGTGGTGGTGGTGGTGGTGGTGGTGGTGGTGGTGCTGCTGCTGGTGGTGGTGGTGCTGCTGCTGCTGCTGGTGGAGCTGGCTTCACCACGGATACAGGGTGGGGCTGCATGTTCCGCACGGGGCAGATGATGCTCGCACAGGTAACGTCTCATTATCCAGGTGCTGCTGCTGCTGCTGCTGCTGCTGCTGCTGCTGCTGCTGCTGCTGCTGCTGCTTGTGCCGATGCTGCTGCTGCCTATGCCGATGCTGCTTCTGCTACTGCTGCTGCTTGTGCCGATGCTGCTGCTGGTGCTGGTGCTGCTGCTGCTGCTGCTGCTGCTGCTGCTGCTGCTGCTGCTTCTGCTGCTGCTTCAGCTGGTGGGCGTTGAATGTTGAACGTTTTTCTATCCCTGTTGTTGTTGTTGAGCTTTTTGCCACCGACTAGTTTTTCAAGACGGATTTATAGTCTGAACCTCTGTTCTGCTCCTCTCCTCCCTCTCCTTTGTCCCTGCAGGCCCTGCTCTGCCACCGACTGGGCCGCCAGTGGAGGCGACATGCAGGCAGGGAGGGGCAGGTGAGGGGAGGTGGAGCAGGTAAGAGAGTCGGGAGGTGAGAGTGAGGGGGTGAGGGGTGAAGCGAGGCCACGTGCTGGCAGGGAGGAACAATCTCGGGGGTTGGATGGATGAGAGCGGGAAAGTGAGAAGGGGAGACGATGCTTATGTGATTTTCCTATGCTCTTGAGAGTTCTCAGATGCCAGAAGAGAATTCTGCACCTTTTTCCTGCACTCATACCCACAGACACCCCTGCTATAGGGGCTTTTTTCCTCATTGACTTGACCCTAGTCCATTGACCTGTCTGGCACATGTAACCCCTCTCTTCCTTGCTCTGTTTTCATCCTCTCCTCCCTCCCCATTTCTCTGTTCCCTCCCATCTCTCCCCCCCACCCCTCCTTCCATTCCCCCTTCTCCCCCGCCCCCCTCCCAGGCCTACTATGAGGTCTTTCTTCTCTATGCCAACTCCCCCTCCCCTCTCTCACGGTTCTCTACCCCTACCCCCCTCCCCGCACCCGCCTCTCCTCCCCAGGCCTACTACGAGGTCGTTCGTCTCTTTGCTGACTCCCCCGCTCCACTCTCCCCGTTCTCTCTGCACCACTTGGTTCGGGCCGGCGCTAGGCTCGGCGTCAAGGCTGGGGCGTGGCTCGGGCCATACCGGCTGTGCGTCACTATTGGGAGCTTGGTTCGGGAGATGGAGGCGGGGGGAGGAGAGAGTGGTTTGGGTGAGGAGGAGCCGGGGAGAGGAGAAGGAAAGGACAGTGAAAGAGAGGAAAAGAATGAGGAGGGGGGGACGGTGATAAAACCAAGAGCGAGAAGAGTTGGCGGTGAGGGGCAAGAAGACGGCGAGGAAGCTGGTGATTTGACATGGAGTGAGGAAGGAGGACTGTGGGGCGAGGGGGGCCCTCTGTGGGGCATGCGGGTGCATGTGGTGGGGGCGCATCCGGGGGGGGAGGGAGGAGGAGGTGCGCCCATGCTGTGTGTGGACGAGGTGATGGCTCTGTGTGGCGGGGGAGGGGGAGCACAGGGGGGGGAGGAGGGGAGGGGGAAGGGGAGGGGAGCGGGGAGAGATGGCATGGAAGGGGGGAGAGGTGTGGAGAGTGGTGAAGCAAGCAATGTTGTGGATATGGGGACAGAGGAGCTGGGAGGAGAGAGGGGAGGGGAGAGGGGAGGGGAGGCGAGCGTATGGCGAGCGGTACTGATCCTGGTGCCTCTGGTTCTGGGGGTCGACCACATGGACGCCCGGTGAGGCTGCTGCTGTAGCACATGGGCGTGATTGTAAGGCTGTAGCATCGCTCAATCCATTGCCTCTCTACCTCAGATTATCATCGTTTGCCATTCATGCCCCATTCCTCGTGCCCACCGCGTCCCAACGTCCCCCAGGAGGCTCTGGAACGCACATTTGCTTTCCCTCAGAGCGTTTTCTTGCAGTCAATTAATCTGTTGTCCCTCTCCCCACCCCACCTCATGTCCTTATGATTACATCTCATCAAATCCTCGCACCCTCCCACCCCGCAGTTACCAGGAGGCGCTGCGTCGCACATTCGCCTTCCCACAGAGTGTGGGCATTGCAGGAGGCAAGCCTAACACATCGCTCTATTTCATCGGCACCCACCGGAACGATGTGCTCTTCCTAGACCCGCATTATCCACAGCAGGTAAAGTTCAGTGGTTACCGGGTAACAAGGATATGTGGTTACCAGGTTATAGTAGCGTGCAAGTGGGTGGGAGGCAAGCCCAACTCTTCGCTCTATTTCATCGGCACATACCAGAGCGAGGTTCTCTTCCTGGACCCGCACTACCCACAGCAGGTGGGATTCAGATGTATGTGTGGTTACCAGGTAACACCAGGTTGCAGTGGCGTGCAACTGGGAGGCAAGCCCCACACGTCGCTCTATTTCATCGGCACACATCAGAACGGTGTGCTCTGGACCCGCACTACCCACAGCAGGTAACGCTCAGGTGATCATGCGTGGTGATGAGGTAACAAGGTCATGCAAGCTCCACGTGTCGCTCTATCTGGGCACACACCAGAACGATGTGCTCTTCCTGGACCCACACTACCCACAGCAGGTAATCATACTCTGGTTGCTAGGGTACAATGACATGTGGTTACCAGGTTACAATGACATGCATGGGAGGCACATGTTGCTCTTCTTTATTGATACGCACGAGAACGATGCAGGGGAACAGCAGGTCACCAGCGTGGTTACCAGGTAACAATGACATGAAACTGGTTGACAAGCATGCCTGGTAAGTTGCACCCCTCATAGCATGCTTTGAGGTAACAATAGCATGCGATTTTCTGATCACAATGCCATGCAGCTGCCAGGTAAGTTGCACCCCTCGTAGTGCATCATCAGCGTGGGTCAGAATAATGTGGTCAGAATTATGTGTTCTTCTTTAATCTGCATTCTACACAGCAGATAGCACCATGTGGTTATCAGTTACAGTGCCTTGTGAAAATCAACTATGAGTGCCATACCGTCTCTTAGGCATCATCGAGTGAAGTTGAGATCTTATTGAATCGTGACATGTAACCCGGTGCACACTCACCTCTCGACCTCCTGGTGAACCCTGCAGGCTGTGGCATTTTCTCAAGGCCCAATCAGTGCATGCCATGTGGACACGTCATCCTACCATTGCAGGCGAGTTTTCTCGCTTTTCTACAATCTTATTTTCTGTTCTATACTCATCCCTGCTCGTGCCCATAATAGCAGCACCATCTCACACATGCCACAATGTTTACCTCCTTAGAATGTATGTCTGCTCCTTGTGTTGTTTCCCCCAGCAGCACCATCCGGCGCATGCCTCTATCAGCCATGGACTCCTCTCTGGCGCTCGGCTTCTACTGTGCGACCCAAGGTAACAGCTCTTTTTTATTCCTCAGTTTTTCTCTCTCTCTCTCTCTCTCTCTCTCTCTCTCTCTCTCTCTCTCTCTCTCTCTCTCTCTCTCTCTCTCTCTCTCTCTCTCTCTCTCTCTTTATTTTCAAAGGCTCCCACTTGTGGGTTGCTTGCTACAGTGCAAATCATCTGTTGAAAGTGTTTCTGGTTGCTGACTATCATGGATTGACATGCCATGTTTGCACGTCTGTGTTGTACCGTATGCCTACCTGTATTTCACGTTGCTTCCCGATGTCACTCCCCTTCGAAAACACACAGGTGACTTCGAAGACCTGTGCAATCGAATTACACAGCTCGCTCAACTGTCGAATGGAGCGCCACTCCTCACTGTGGGCAACAGGGCCGATCTGGCGAGCTATGCGGTGAAAGAGGTGCCTGAGATGGACAGCTCTTCTTTGGGAGATTCGTTGGAAGACAATGATTCTGATATTGGTGACAATTGGGAGCTTGTATAGCCAGGTGGTGCTCACATTCTGGTGTACATACTATGTTTTTTGGTACCTGCTCGAGGACAAGCCAAGATTTGTAATTAATATGTTTGTATATTCTGTACAAATACGGATAATTCAGAAAAATACTGTACATATTCCCTGTGTTAGAGGGGTGTTTACTGTTCATTCCGAACAGTACTTTCCAAGTCACCCTTATCCTTATCTTCTCAGATTCTCTAGTGCCACGTGGCACTCTACTTTTCTTGCACTACAATTCTTGGTCCCACAATCCACTTTCCAACCTTGTTTCTTGCATGCTATATAAACCTTGCTTGTACTTGACATTATGAACCAATTCTCATTCAACTCTTCTTCAATTACTCAGTAACTCCTTCGCCTAATTCGCTAGTAATTCTTTCGCCAAAGTCTTCAGCCGTGCTTCATCCTCGACTTAGGGCGTATTCCTACGGCCTCCTATCAAGAAACCTCCTATCAAGAATGTAGTTCTCGCCTGTAAATTTGCAAGCGCGCGCAACCTCCTATCAACAAAACTTGACGGTTTCCCCACATGTGCGACCCAAAACAAACGCTGATGTGGCACGCTGCGACCCACCTTGATCAGGCGTGACGGTTCACATCAAAAGTGCACCACGTAAGCAGGAAGTGTGCCAAGGGGACAAGTCAACAAGCAGCTCGCTCACACATGCCAGGTGTGAAAATGGCCCCCAAAATTTGCATTCCGTGCACGTTCGCGCGCAGCACACGTCTGCCACATCGTCCAGCATGGCACGAATTGGTGACTGGCGCATACACTGGCCTGACGTCTGTTCATTAGATGGAACCGTGTTCCGGGAAGTCATCACGTTCACGCGACACCCTGCGAGCATTTCTATTGATTCGCTCAATCATTCCAATATTGATAACTGGTGTTTTATAACGTACACATTGTCAAACTACTTTCTTGATAGGAGGTTTCTTGATAGGAGGTTGTAGGAATACGCCCTTAGTCGACCCCGCTAATTCTTTAGCGGACTTAGGCCAGCGGGCCTAAAACTTCCAGAGCCTTCGCGGGGAGCGACTTCCAACGAGCGACCGTCGACGACGAGACTACGCCGTCATCGTCCCGCGGTGCCGACTGTCAAAGTATAAATGTGCTATATGTTTGTAGGCTGTAGTGGGGTAGCCAATATGGGGTACAACCCCAACTAGGGTTTCCTATTTGTACCCTTGCTTCTTTCAATCCAATCATTCGTGCCTCATAGTTTTCACATGGTCTCAGAGCAGTAGGTCCGTTAGGACCGATTTTTTTCCGGGCCCACCGAACGCCTGCCTGCCTGCGGTTACCGCGCTGCCCCACATGCGCCCTGCCTAGCCCGCCCGTCGCGCTGCCCCTAATCCCGCGCCCGGCCCCTTCCCTGCCCGTCGCGCAGCCCCTAAGCCCGCGCCCGGCCCCCGCCTTACCGTCGCGCTGCCCCTAAGCCCGCTCCCGGCCCCTGCCTGCCTGTCGCGCTGCCCCTAAGCCCGCGCCCGGCCCCTGCCTGCCCGTCGTATTGCCCCTACGCCCGCGCCCGGCCCCCTGCCTACTGTCGCGCTGCCCCTAAGCCCGCGCCCGGCCCCTGCCTGCCCGTCGCGCTGCCCCTAAGCCCGCGCCCGGCCCCTGCCTGCCCGTCGCGTTGCCCCTACGCCCGCGCCCGGCGCCCTGCCTACCATCGCGCTGCCCCTAAGCCCGCGCCCGGCCCCTGCCTGCCCGTCACGTTGCCCCTAAGCCCGCGCCCGGCCCCCTGCCTACCGTCGCGTTGCCCCTAAGCCCGCGCCCGGCCCCTGCCTGCCCGTCGCGCTGCCCCTAAGCCTGTGCCCGGCCCCATGCCTGCCCCTGCATCCTGCTTTACGCCTGCCTGCCTTGCGCTACTGCCATGGCGACCATGAATGTGCTAGCTTTCGAACCTGACGGTCGCCCGATCGCATTTCCCACTTGGCTTGACGATCTACAGCTTTTCCTTCTGACTGATGCCAAAGATGGTGTCTCGCTTTTCGACTACGTTACTGACACTGCCGCTGCTCCTGCTGACAGTGCTCCTGCAGTGAACCGTTCACAGTGGCAGACTCGCGATGCTGCTGCGCGCCTTGCTATCCGCAACCATCTGCCGATCGCTGAGCGCGCGCATTTCAGTCAGCACAAAACTGCCAAGGCACTTTATGACGCAGTAGTTGCACGCTACTCCTCCCCAGCCACTGCTGCTGAAGGAGGCCTTATCCTGCCCTACCTGTGTGAAACTTAGAACGAGAATGAGAATGACTAACAGGAATGAGAGTACAAATATGAAACCCTAGAGTTCTGTACCCTCTAAGGCTAAACCCACTGTAGCCTACAAAGCTACAACATGCATAATGTTGGACACACCCCCATAGGCAAAGTGGGGGAGAACAAGGGGTCACAAGACCAGTCAAGCAAAGCAAGGCAAAGCAAGCTCAGGGTGGATCACGACGTCACCACACAGTCTGAGCACAAGTTCAAGGCCACAAGGCCAGTTCACATGCAAGGGTACATATATATAGCGCTATACAAGCAAGGGCATATATATATATGTAACAGTACAAGCAAGGTCAAGAAGTAAGCAAGTGAGGCAAGGTAGGCACAAGACCTAACAGAGTACAGAAGCGCTGATGATCACAAGGCGCGAGTGCCTTGGTGAAGATATCAGCAGTGTTGGCCTCAGAGGCCACGTAAGCAAGGCGCAGCTGACCACGCTGCTGCAGCTCACGAGCAAGGAAGTAGCGGAGAGCGATGTGCTTCGTTCTGTGCTCCAGTCTGTGCTCCCGACACAAGGCCAGCATGGCCTTGTTGTCTACGTACAGCACTGGAGGAGAACGAGGCGGCTCTCCCAGGTCAGTCAGCAGGTAGGTGAGCCAGCGTAGCTCCTGTGCAGCCATGGCCCCTGCGTAGATCTCAGCCTCACAGCTCGAGCCGAGAACAGAAGACGAGCGGGTAGACCGCCACGAAACAGAGCCGGAACCAAGGCTGAAGGTGTAACCCTGTGACGACCGCTGCGTAGCCTGGTCGTCGGCCCAAGAAGCGTCTGCGTGACCAGTGAGGACCACTGGACTCTGCCCTCCAAGCACAAGCCCCATGCCCGACGTACTGCACAAGTAGCGCAACACCCTCTTCGCTGCAGCCATGTGCTCTGGTCTGTGTCTCCCAGGAGCAACATAGCGTGCAAGAATGCTAAGAGGGTATGCAAGGTCAGGTCGAGTGCAGGTCATCAGGTACATGAGGCAGCCGACAAGCTCTGGGTACGGGCCACTCGACTCTACGGACTCATCCGAAGGCAGAGCTGAGAGCGAGTGGCGTGTAGGCAGAGGAGTGGCCTGAGGCGAGGAGTACGTGAAGCCGAAGCGCTGAAGGACCTGCTGCACCATGTGTGACTGAGTCAGGGTAATGGTGCGCTGTGCTCTGTCCCGGGTGATCTGCAAGCCAAGGTAGCTGCGCAGTTCACCCAGGTCTGTGCACGTGTGTCTCTTCTGCAGCTCGGACTTCACGTAGGCAAGTCCAGCAGTGTCAGCTGTAGCAAAGACCAAGTCGTCGACGTACACGAGGATGTAGAACGGCGGCAAGGAAGAGT